TTCCCTCCCTCCCTCCCTCTCTCTCTCTCTCTCTCTCTCTCTCTCTCTCTCTCTCTCTCTCTCTCTGTGTGTGTGTGTTTGTGTGTGTGTGTGTGTGTGTGTGTGTGTGTGTTGGGTGGGGGTATTTGAGTGCTCAAACCTTGCATCAGTAAACAGCTCTTACTAAGAGAAAAGCCATTGCTCCCTCTCCAGCCTGCATAGCAATGTCCAGTGTTACGAAGTCTAGCTAGACGGAGGAAGGGTCAGCTCAGTGTCAGCATTGTTTCTCTGTCTCCTCTAGCAGTGGTATGTGGTGCTTTAGCAATAGTCTTAACAATCCAGTTCTCTGAAGACTTTCTATTTCTCCTAGTGTCTGATGGTAAATTTAGTATCTCAAAACTCTTGTGTGTACCCTTTAAGCTAATATGTAGCATCTAAATCAATGCAGTCTGTGTGTGTTTGCTAGAGTTAGAATTTGCATTTCTTCTCTCCTTCCTACCACCTTTGATTGGGCCAGATGGGACTTTATTAACGTTTTAGTCATTTCAGAGAACTGGCATTGTAGTTTGAGTTTCTTTACACCATGTTTGACTTCTTATTAATTTCCTTTTTTTTTTCCTCCTTATTCTCAGTTCAGTTCAGTTTTATTTGTTTGTTTTTTTAGCTTTGGGTGAAAAGCTAGTTTTTTTTCCATGCATTTTCTAAAAATAAGCATTTAGAGATATAAGAATTTCCCTTCTGCTATGTTAACTTCATGTTGCATATTCTGTATTTTCATTATCTTTCAATTTAAAATAGTTTCTAATTCTCCTTCTGATTCCTTCTTTGACTTTTTAGTTCTTTCAAAACTGAGTTTTGGTTTTTCAGAATTTGCCATTTCTGAGAGTTTTTATTACTGATTTCAGTCTTACAGTGTTGCAGAATTTCTAGTCTATCTCTATTTAGCACTTAAAAACCTGTTAGTTGATTTGTCTTATGGCCTATTACGTATTAGACAACATGGATAAATAAATAAATCACATAAATATCATGTATATGCGATTTTAATTTACGTAATTAATTATTAGGTGGGGTCTCATATAGCCCAGGCTGCTCTCAGACTTCTTATGTAATCAAAGATGTTTGAACTGCTGAGCTTCCTGCTTCCCTCTCCCTATTACTAGGCTTGCAGAAATGCACCATAGCACCCAGTTTGCAGGATGCTGGAGGTTGATCACACAACTTCCTGCATGCCTGGCAAGTACACTGCAGACCAAGCTCCATCCCAGCCCGACACATTGCATCTCTCAATAACTCTGTTATTGTCCTTTGCAGGCGATTAAACTGAAGTCCAGGGAAGAGTTACTTTACTTGCAATCAACGTCATTCTTTCAAGGCATGTTTCTAATGCTTGGTAGAGTCAAACCATGCATACTAGCTTCCTCTATGTGAAGGGCTCTGCGTTCTGGATGGTCTGGGCATAGTTTCTGATCCTCCCCAAACTTTGGCAATGGTTCAGTTAAGTTTATCTGGAGTTGTTCCTCCCTGGTGAGTTTTGTTTTGCTTTCCTAGATTTGAGGACACTTGTAGTAGACATCAATGTCATTTGGTCAGTGACTCATGGAAATCCCTCTGTGGCTCTGTTTTTTTTTCTTTTTTGTTTTTTCCTTCTTCTAGCTCCTTTCTTTCTGCTGCCTTGCTTCCCCCTGTAGATATGTTGTGAGCCATGTCGTGTGATCTATCACTTCAGGCATGACTACCTAGAAACACCTATGAGAGAAAACAAGGATGAATATGGGATTTCCCCATCCTATCTCCTTTTTCTTATGGGTCTGCTCCCAAGCTGCATCTTTCCTGATATCTAGAAGCACTTACTGCATTATTGTCTAGTTACTCATTGTACCTAACTGCAGAAATCTGGACTCATTTTGATACCTGCTCATGTGGAGAACAGTGACATAGTATGTTTTCTTACCTGTTTACTCAACCTCCAGAAATTATTCTT